ATTTAAAACTGTTTAAAATGGTTTATAAACGGTATTTTTGCTGGCAGTTAAATAGCAATACAAATGCTCAGTCACTAGCCTCTCCCACAGTCCAGTACTGAGTACGAAAGGTTCTCGATGCTCGCGATGAGCTTGGCGACAGCGGCGGCTACGTTAGAGGCATCATGTGTCAATTCGCCGCGTCGACTTATAAAAAATGCGTACTCACCGCCAGTGACACGCACATTGGTCTGTTTCAGGAGGGTCTCATGCACGGCAGAGAGCGCTTCACTGTTGTTGCCATCACGAAGGCGAGTAGAAACAATTCGAGAACGCGACGTGTGAACGGCTGAGTCCGGCTTGAGGCTCATGGTGGTGGTAGGCACGTCTTGTCACTGGAAGTCACATTTTATCGAGTGGGAAATGTTGAGATAGTGAGATGCTCAGTCCGAGCAAGCCCGAGCCAGTATGATGTCAAGACTCCGAAGAGGCCACAAAACGGCCCGAGCAAGTTGCCGAAATTTGGCCGAGCCCGAATGTTCCGTTTCGGCACGTACAGTCGTGCCGGCCGCTCAGCCGTGGGCGGCAACCATTTAAACCGTTTCCAAACGGTTTGCAAACCATTTGAGCCCTCGGACAAACTAAATGGAAATAAAAACGGTTATTACCGTGTATAAACATTTATAAATGGAAACGGTTGGAGCCTTACGGCGGATGGTTCTGAGCTGGATCTTTCTGATAGTGACACTGGCGAGAATTTGTGGGTCGACAAGGCTGCGGTGCAGGCGGATGGGGCGGAATCTGACGCGGATGTAAGTCAGGAGGACGAAGAGCCGGTGGCGAGCACGAGAGTGAAGGGCACGGTGAAGGCGCAGAGTTCAGGGAAGAAGGGTAAAAAGGCAAAGGCAAAGAAGGTCTTTACAGTGGTCGACAAGGTAACATTCCCTATTGCTCGTGAATTCTGGGCCTCTCACTATTTCCAGATCCACGCAAGTGTGGTCCACATTCTGCACTCCGAAATGTAGCACAAGAAGGCTCGCGCGCTCATCCATAAGCTGGCTGACACAGAATTTCGGCATCTTGTATTCTTGCGGAGCATAGTTATCCGATGGAACACATTATACACCGAAATTTGGCGCGCAGCTTTTCATCCTGATTTTCGTCCAGTTGTTGAGAATTTGTTCAAGCGCTTGATGTGTTCATTGCGGACATGGCCCGTGGCCTCACCGGCAAGCCCAGACTTGCGGCCTTTAAAATAAATATAAAAAGTGTGAGACTCTGCGCTCGTCGGATTGGGAGTTCATTGAAAAGCTGATCAATGCTCTTGAGGTAATGTGCTTCTTTCAACTGCTCTCCTCATTTACAACTCATGTACGGCAGGTCCTTCAAGAAGTGACTCTCGAGTTCTCCAAAAAGGGTATTCGGACCATTTCAAAAATTCTACCTCTTGACAAACTAATGGAGACCCGCCTTTCCACGTTGATGGACGAACACGAGCTGGATGAGCTCAACTTTCGAGGGCTCCTATGCGCCGGATCCGAGAAAGTAGGAATGTAAGTACGTAGGCAAAACCTTGATGAGTGATCATCCTTTATTCGGGACCGGTGTGTTACTCCCTTCTTTGTCTTAGTAGATCGTTCTTATCTCGCATTCCATAGTGCTCCATCCTGAGGCTCGTTTGGCCTCCTTTCAGACCGATGACTGGGACCCCATCGGTGCCCGACCGTGCTTGTGACCTGTTGACGGATTTGGTAAAGAAATATTCCGCTAACCGCAGTGCTTCAACCAATGGGACTGCTTCTGCGACGATGAGACCCTCGAACAATATTTTCGCAATGGCAATGCAGTGACACGCTGATAAGTCAATGTCATTTGCGGGGAAGGACGAGGTAGATATGTACTTCGGGGGCATCTCTCTGGTCGACCCGGGCTCTGGTGACGCCCTTGGTTGGTGGAAGGTCTGATCTTCTGCCGTCTTCAGGAGCCGAGGCTGCTGCAAACCAGGCCGGTCCGTCGACTCGTTAATTTTGTCCGTTATATCGTACACGAATATTTGTTTACTACGTCGAGAATGTACAACATGTTTTCTTGACGCCTGGAAGGTTCGGCACCTGCCGCTAGCGGCCTTATCCGACCTCATATACTAAAATGTCCAATGTAACTAGAATGTTCCATACTATTCTTCTGTATTCTCCTGTGTTCTACCAGTGACTCCTACTGACTCGATACAACTCGCTATGACTCGTTACCTCGGGCATGCCTCGGGCATGATGCCGGGCTGCACTAACTCCAATATATCCTTCTGTGCCCTGCGTGCGCTTCGTGTCAAGACCATTCTAATTGATGTTCTGGTCCGTTTTCACGGTGTGTGTCTCGAAGCAGGGGTTGGAGATGAGGGCCGAGACAATCGAGGTGCTGACGCGGCAAGCATGCGCAAACAACGCTTTTTGTATGCCAGAAGTGAAATATCTTCAAGTCCAATACCGCAGACGCAGACCGACCACCCCTGAGCCTTATCTACCCTCAATCGGATCGGCTGTTTTTGAGCCGACAAAACCAAGACAAAAAGATGATGAACCTTCAGATCGTAAAAGCGATATTCGAATCAAGACAATTCGATTTCAACTAGTAAGCTTGAACTGGGAAAGTGGTAAAAAAAAGCATACTGGAAACATTATTTTCCTGACAGGGGCCCGGGCTCGAATCGAACGAGCAGCTTCTGCTTGATGTAACCAGGATTCCGCGCCACATAATACAAACGCGAACCATCCGCCACCGAGCCCTATCAACCAGCTCTTTACTTCCTCAAATATATATTTTGCTCGATATTCATTGAGGCAACGCGCCCACGACGTTCTTGCGCGCTAAAAAGCGAGTCCATGGTCAATGAACACAACACACGACGCAGAGCCGCCAGGTCTGCTCTGGTCACATTTTTATGGCGACGATGATCAGCTCGACTGTGAGCAATCGAGTGATCTCCATCCGTGCCTTGCGCGTACGCGAAGAAGCCGGTTTCGCATGCCAATCTTAAGGCTCTGGTCGAGGCTTGGTCTTGGAGGCAGTGGATGGGAAAGAGATTGTGCTGGCACAGTGCTGGTGCGAATGGAGGGGCTGTATACATACAATACCCGGGCCCTTTCTTACCAAAAAAGAAAATTCGGATTTTCTTTCTCCAGGAATCGGACCACGGGAGTCCAGGAGTTTGTGCCGAGATGGAGGAATAAGAGATGAATAGTGTACGGATCATCGTCTTCATACATGTCCGGCACCGTCAATTCAAATTAATTTATTAGAGTTAAACAAGCGCGCATGCGGATTGCCGTATGGCGCTCCTGACACGAACCTGCGTGGAGAGTGAGTTGTGCGCCCTTGTTAGTCATAAAGGAACAAAAAGCCGTACTCTAGGTTGGCGACGTCTGTTACAAGTGCGCCTCAAATTCGGGGGAAATTCAATCCAGCGGAGACCAGGAAATCCTCCCTCGGGTATTCCTGCCACGTCCCATTTACCTTCCTCCATGCATTGTCATCTATACAAAGAGTGAATCCCGGAAGAAGCAACGGAACCGATGTGAGCTTACAAAGACTGCAGGCTTCCAAAGTCGGACAAACGGCGGCGAGCTTCTGAACTGTCCCAAAATCATGGTCTGCCTCTGCCACTGTTCTGGGAAACTCGTATATATAGTCCAGTGCAAGATAGGCGAGTCGGTGAAATAGTGGCAGGCACTCCGTGAATTGTTCGAAGTCTTCCTGAATTGATTTTGTTGAGCGGCGAAATTGAATAACCGGCCGAACGACTTACATCATCTAGCTCTGAATGAATAAACCGCATTTGAAGTGTCGTTGTGTGTGGCATGTGCGTCGATAGAGACTTGAGAATGACCAGGTGCTTCACTCCGGTGAAGCAATAATGAGAAGAAACAAAAGGGCGATCAAGAGTCGTCAAAGCATTCAAGGCCAGAATAATTTGGTCGATAGTTGGTGTTCCTGCCGGGAGAAACCAATTGAGTCGAGTTGTTCGCAAACGGCACAAACATATTTCAGGAATGGCCAACGCCGTCCCTCCATAATGACAAAGATTGGGAAGGGGTATTCGCTCCTCGACTGGCCTCGCTTGCAATGAATTCATTTCAACATGCGTTAGAGTGGGATGCCGCGTCAAAAACTGTGAAACGATATCTGCTCCAGATATACCATCAACATCGGAGCCCAGGATTTGTACACCACAACTGATGAGGCGGGGGAAGTGTAGGAGGGAGAGGACAGGAGTTTTAGCAATCGACAGACGCTCCAGTCTAGTCATGAGTTTCATTGCCTCGAGAAACAGATCTTCGTAAGCGGGTGATCTTGGTTACCAGTTAGTTGAGGACATTGAAAAAGATATGAGGGAATATGGAACATACCGAAACACGAAAGTAAAGGATCGTATGGTGTCCGCCCGCCCAGGATTCGCAATCAACGCCGAACAAAAAGCGCGCGGGATTTTAGAATTGAAAGTGTTGAGTACGACGGTACGGTTTAACACAGGCAGTGACAAGCTTTGAAAAAGCTTCGATACACGACACAGAGTCGCCTGGTCTGCCCTTACCGCATTTCGTACAATCTCTGTGATCAGCTCGTCCGGGAACAACCGGGTGATATCCTTCTGTGCCCTGCGTGCGCTTCGTGTCAAGACCATTCGAATTGGTGCTCTGGTCCGTTTCCACGGTGTGTCTCGAAGCAAGCGGTTGGAGATGAGCGGCCGACAGAAAAAGGTGCAAGCATGCGCAAACAAGGCTTTTACGTCAAAAAGGCGCCAAAGCAACGCCAAAGGGAAGAAAAATTCCAATATGGAGCACAGACGCGGACCGTTCCCCCGAGCCTTGTCTACCCGTACTTAAATCGGATCGGTTTTTGAGCCGACAAGACAAAAAAGATGATAAAAACTTCAGTTCGCAAAACGCGATATTCGAACCAAGACAACTTTTTGGATTTAGTCGGACAGTGGTAAAAGACCGCATACTCGAAACATTATTTTACAGGGGCCCGGGCTCGAATCGAACGAGCAGGTTCTGCTTGATGCAAGCAGGTTTTCACGGCGCCATGGCATAATACAGACGCGGACCATCCGCCACCGGGCCTTATCAACCACCTCTTTGCCTCGAATATATATATTCATCGCGGCAATGCGCCCACAACGACTTTCTTGCGCGCTAAGAAGCCAAGCCATGGTCAATGAACACACCCAACTGTCTGCATTCTGAGTCAACTCACCTGCCAGTCGATCGCGAAGCACGAGTCCCGGCTGCAGCTCTAGTGCGCTGCTAGTAGCATCCTGCTAGTGTCCGTCTTAGCGCCTCATGCCACTGTGGTGGAAGGACCGAAAGTATCAGATATGCGCTGGTTGGAGCGAATCGAATTAGTACTATCGAGTCGGAAGGTAGGTCCGGGAAGGACAAGCCTGCTGCGAATTCGTAGACATACATTTGGGCGGGGATGGTACGCGCATGTCGAACCACCTCTCAATTGACCTAACGGGCGCGTTCACCGTGCCGTCGTGGCTCGAACGCACCAGAGATGGAGCCCGTGCCGCGGCGAGAGGTAATAATGAGCAGCCTCCGCGGACGCGCCGTCCCAGTACGCAAGGACCATATTGACCATTATGAGCCCGAGACCTCGGATATATTGTCCTTGTCCTCGTCCTAATCGTATTCCCCGTCCCAGCGCCGTTCAAATTTTGCAGCAGGAATGAGATGCGGATTTCATCCTTGTATTGAGACAATCGACGTCTCCATGACCGTACGCGTAACGTCCCCGGAGGGCGCGAATCGGTTAAGACTAGTGTACCAGATCTACATGCAGCCCGGGCGGCACGTTAAAAAAGGGACAGAAGATTCTCAGCTTCAGCTCACCGTGAGCTTAGGGAGTTGGTCGAGGGCTTGAAAACTTGATCATGATCATGAATCGAGAAAAAGCGTGCCTACAGTATGGCCTTGACACTTCGAGTCGAAGTACAGGCCAATGAAGATGTGAAGCCAGGGCCCAGGCGTCGTTTCAAGGAAAGCCCTGAGTCCCCAGGCGATGTCAGTCGAATTCAGAGCCAAACAGGCTCCGCGCAAGCGGATTCTCTTGGATTGTCAGTCGGCTGGCACAGGAAGCAAGGAGTCAACTTGAAGCCCAATGCGGAGAATCGAGCTCGCGATGATTCGCGCCTTGAGAGAAATGCTTATACATACTAGCAACATTTCTACTGGCAGTCAAGGTGTCAAATTTCAATTCGACGTCTTGAATTTCCTGCAAGAGCTCAAGAGGTCGAGCGCCGGTAGCGGGGACCGAGTCGGCGGCAGTCCGGCTCCGGATCCTCTTCAGTGTCCACAGTGAGCTCGGGTGATCCTCGCTGAGAAAAAGGTAGAGGAATCCGGCGAGCGGGTGTCAGAAGAAGCAAGAGCAGTGGCTGTGCTCTACGTCCTCCCCGCTCCTAAATCCAAATTCGAATCCCATCCCACAGAAAAATTTGGGATCCACTCAATAAAGATACGTATACATTGTACACACTACCCCTCCTCCTAGGAATTATAAGTTACTCGTACATCATTACACCCCGATCCCGGAAAAAACAAGGAAATGAGCAATCACTTCTTCGAGCCTTGTAGGGAGGCGGCGGTCGCGGGCTGCACTGTACGCCCCATCCACCCCCCGAAGTGCCCCACTCCCACTTAGCACCTCAGCACTCAGCACCCAACACTCAGCAGCACTCGGCCCTCAGCAGCGCGCACCTCGGCACCACAGCACCTCAGGCCTCAGCGCCTCAGCACTCGGAGGGATTGTCTACGCGCCAGGGCCGCTCCCAAGCGGCACGCTCCCGATCACGTTGTACGTCCGCGCGCTGCGGTTCATGGGCGGGGGGAGGCGGTCCCTGTGGGCGGGGTAGGGCGGACAGGGTGGTGTTGTGAGGTGGGTGAGGGTGGTGTTGTGAGGCGGCGGACATGATGCGAAAGGGTGGGACGGAAAGAGAGATAGGCGGAGCAGAGGGCGGAGAGATGGGAGTAAGTGGTGATGAGGAGGGAATTGGGGCGAATTTCGGACGGGAATGGGAGGAGGTCAAGATAGGTGATAGGATGGAGTTCAAGGCGGAGGGAAGGCGATGGGGAGCGGAAGCGGCCGGAGGGTAGGACGGAAAGAGGGCGGAAAGATGGTAGGAAGTGGTGATGAGGAGGGAATTGGTAGGGGAGAACGGGCGGGGCGACGAGTTTCCGACGAGGGTGGGAGGAGTTTGAGATAGGATGGAGTTCAAGGCGGAGGGAAGGCGATGGGGAGCGGAAGCGGCGGGTGACGTGGCGTGGGGAGGCGCAGGGTGAGGGATAGAGTGTATGTAGAACGGTGGGGAGGTCAAGGTGGATGAACGCAGGGTTGGTGGAGTGAGAAGGAAGCGGCGATGATGAGGAAGCGAGGTTAGGATAGAGGAGTGGGAGGTGGCGATAAATGAGAGGCATGGGCACGGAGGGCGAGCCGGATCGGGGAAGGGTGGAGGGAGAGGAGCAACATCGGGCGGAGGGGTGGTTTGGGTGGGTAAGGGAAAGGACGAATGGGAGGTGGGAGGTTGTAGGGCGGAAGCAAGAGTATGCGCAGAAACGCGGAGGGAGGTGAATATGAGCGGGAGCGGGGGAGGGCGGGACGGATATGCGAGTGCGGGACGGCGTGAGTGGAGGTGCGGCGCGGTCGGAGGATGGGGTAGTCGTCGTCATCGTCGAAAGGGAGGGCATGGAAGGGTCGTCGTTGTCGCGAGGCGGGCGGGCGGGCGGGAGAGGGGAGAAAGTAGAAGGAAAGAAAAATCAGTCAGCGTGCGCCGGGGATATTATGGGATTTAGAAAACGCTAGAAAGACGGACGCGTACTGCTCCACCCCAAGCCGGTCGAGCACGCGCACTGCGTCCCCCCTCTACGCAAGGACGCGCCTCTCGCCCCAACTCTAGTCACTCGGGTGCCCCACATCCAAGGAAGCACCCTCCCCCTTAGCAAGTACGTGTCGTGTGCCCCTTCTTCATTCCGGCGCATCGCCGATGTACGTGCACTTGAACTTAGAGCCCACAGCAACGACTTGCTCCAATCTGCCCCATCGCCGCCGAAGTGCACGCACCCCTTCCACTCCTCCCTCCTCCGCTCCCCCCCCCCCTCCTCAAAAAGAGAAGCACAACGAGCGAGAAAAAAAGTCTCAAAAAAAAAGCGAAACGCGCACGCACCCCTCGCCCATATCGAAGTGCGTGCCGCGCTTCGGATCGGCGCGGCGCTTCTCGACGGCCTTCTTGACCTTGCGCTCGGGGCGGACGACGATGATGGGGACGGGGGAGTGGGTGAGGCAGTATCTGGGATGTGGGGGGTTAGTGTGGGGAGCAATATATACGAGGGATAGGAGTAGAGAGGGGACGCACTTGCTAACGCTCCCGATGCCTCCCTTGCCCATCATGGCCATACCCTGCCAGGCCTTCTTGCCGCGGGTGCCGACGACGACGCTGTCGGGGCGGTAGAGCGCGATGAGGCGGTCGAGCGTCGCGGTGATGCGGCCTGGGATGTATTCCAGGATGATCGAGAGCTGCGGTCGTTAGCATCACAGCAGCGAGGGATACATAAGACGGCACACACCTTGCGCTCAGGATCATACTCGATGCTCTTCTCCTGGATCTGCAGCATCAACTGCCTCGCCTCCTCCCGCACCGCCTCGTGGTCCCTTTCGAATAGATCCTCGTCCACGCCGCGGCACACGATGAGCTCGTCCCCGTCCTGCACGAGCGCCTCGAGGCTCCAGTCCAGCGCCTCGCGGCCGCTCTCGTCGGGCCCCGCGGCGACGAGGAACACGCGCGTGCTGCGCGTGCGGATGTAGCCGTCCGCCTTGACCTGGAGGGTGAAGCTGAACATGGACGCGGCGGGGTTCTCGAAGGTGTCGAAGGAGACCTTAGGGGTGTAGTTCGGGGAGGCGAACTGGGAGACGTGCGGGGAGGGGGTGGGCGGGGCGGAGCCGGGGATTGGGCCTGGACCGAGAGTCGAGGTGGGGATCGGGTAGTGGAGCATGGTGGGCGGGGAGGAGGAGCCGGCGGGGGAGAGAACAGGGGAGAGGGACGAGGAGCGGCGGCTGAGCGGCGGAGAGGTGCTGTTCTTCAGCGCAGAGCGCAGCGCCGGAGAGTCTCTGTGCATCGCAGAGTATAGCGGCGGACTGTGTCGAGTTTCAGAGTAAGACATGTTGTTGCCGCGTGTTGACGCGATCCTCTTTCTTTACCCTACGTCCTAATCCTGGCGTGGCTTGGTGGCGGATGGTCCGCATCTGCGTGAACTGCAGTCTTCCGAATTCATTTCTCAGCAGAAGCTGCTCGTTCGAATCGGGCCCAAGCCATATGCTGAAACTTTATATGTAACTTTTTTTTTTCGCATTTGAACCCTCGTCCCCACGAAACAAAAATCCTAATTTTATTGGAAGTCGATGGCCAGGATCCAGGTACGTCGATTCAGGCTTTATCTGCTTCAAGGTCAAGCTTCAGGCTTCAAGATCTACCATATCTGTCCGCAAAAAGCGGCAGGAGGTCAGTACCTCACGGAGTTTCCCGCCCCCAGAAAAATAAAGTCCTAGTCATATCTCAGGCCTCAGGTTGAAGTCAGCGAAGCAAGGCTCGGTGGATAATCCACCTTTGCGCATGCATCAGTTTCCCAGTGCGTGATGACGATGTACGCAGGAGGGCCTGTTCGAATCAGGCCCGAGCCATTACAATAAAATTGAGTTTTTTTCCCCCAGCATATATCAGCTTCCTAGTGAGCCTAGTCTATGTCTGCACACTGAAATTTATTTTATTAGAAAATGGTGAACGGAGGAACTGAACTAAGAATTGGGCATCCCTGATTGTACAGGAAGTCCAGAAAAAAAGGTGGTAGTAGACCAATCCGTCATTCACGAAATTTCACTCGCTCTCCGAAAAAGATAAAGTCCAACTCATATATCAGGATGAGCTCTGCAAAGCAAGGCTCAGTGGCGGATGGTCCGCATCTGCATTTCTTCCCCTCACGTGATCAGGATGTGCAGAAGGTGCTCGTTCGAATCGGGTTTGAGCCTTGAAGAATCTGGAGTAACCTTTTTTTCCCCCTCGAAGCAAAAAGCA